CGGCGATGAAACTTTCTCCATTCGAGAAACACTGATCCAGAAATTTACAAGCCTCGATCAATCGTTAAAGAGAAGAATCGAGACTTTGGGAGATTGATGATGATAATGATTGCTTCTTCGTTAAGATTAAATTATTAAAGAAATCAATCAATGAATGGGGTCTGAATTTAAATTTGAGGCGTGAAGCAGAATACAATAAAAACCAGTTGCTTTTTTTTTTTTCCTTCTTCTCTTCTTCCACTGTGTAACTCGATAGAGACAGGAGAGGAGGATAGAATCAATAAAAAGATTTTAAAACGATGTCGTGTTGGTACGGTTCTGAGAGGTGACGTGTCGCTCTGATAAAGACACGTGTAATATCTTCACCACCCCACTGGTTGGTTTTGCTTTATTTATTGATGATAAAGATGTATTTTTTAATACGTCATTTTGGTTATGTAGATTTTGAAAATGAGATCGATTTTAATGTCGTTATTTTTGCAGCTTTTTTTACAAAATTGTTATGCAATACTTTGACAATTTATCCATGTTTCCTTTTTCAAATCTTTGTAGCTAATTTAAGAAATTGGAAAATTTAATTCATCAGAGATAGCACTCAAAATCGTTAGCTGTCTTTAGTGTTCTTTTTTAACATGGATCGAGACTCATTATCATTTATCACTCGTGGCAAAAGGTGGGAATCATATAAAACATTTTTATATTGAAATAAACAAACAAAAAAAGTAAAGTTAAAACATTTTTATATTGACCCGAATTTTGGGCCCGAATATAGTTTACTGGGCTCAGAATTTGGGTTAATTAATGCAAATTATTTATTTCGATATAAAAAATAGCGAACCAAAAAGCCCAACCGTATCGCAAAACACGTGGATAAGCTACAGTTCGTCAGCCCTCTGATAAACTCATTTAACGGTTCACGAGCATCCACGTCACAAATTTGTCACGTTCCGATTCAGAGCGAGGTAAAAACAAAGTCGTAGTTCGTTCCGATTCAAAGCGAGGTAAAAACAAAGTCGTAACAACCGCGAGTAAAAAAGTTGAATTTTTGCGAAATTATCACTGCGTTTGTTGAGATGTTTTACCAAACCAAACTTAATACGAAAAACCAATATTACCCAAAAGGGAAAGTAAAATCCTGCTACATTTACTAAAATACCACCCAAATCGAGTTCTTGAAAACCCTAGTTTCCCAGAGGAAATCACAAAGTAAAAGCAGATCTACACAAGAACACTAAAGAAAATCTCTTAACCGCCGAATCCGTAGAGAGTCCTTCCTTGCCTCTTGAGCGCGTAAACAACATCCATGGCGGTCACCGTCTTCCTCCTTGCGTGCTCGGTGTAAGTCACAGCGTCACGAATCACGTTCTCCAAAAAGATCTTGAGAACTCCACGCGTCTCCTCATAGATCAAACCACTGATACGCTTGACTCCACCTCTACGAGCCAACCTCCGAATCGCAGGCTTGGTGATTCCTTGGATGTTGTCTCTCAAAACCTTCCTGTGACGCTTAGCTCCTCCTTTGCCCAAACCTTTTCCTCCCTTTCCACGACCTGACATTTTCTCACCGGAGATTAGAGATTTTTCTCGAGAAAAATTGAGACTATGCTAATGAAGGGATTGTTTGAGCTTATGTGGACATGAAAGGACCGCGATTGTTTATATACAAGAGGGGTTTTATTTTGAACCATCCGATTTAATTTTACATCAACGGCTGTTATTCTCAATCCTCGCCAAATTTTAAATGACGTAAGAGCCGTCGATGTGTTTTAATCAACGGTAATAAAGAGCGATCCGCGTGATAACTGTTTTAGTTCCGCTTTGGGGTTTTCGTACGCCGCTTTGGATAATTTGCGCTTTTTATTCTTTTTTAATTAAACTTAAATTTTTACTCGGATATTAATTATCATACGTCGCCGTTTCGTATACCGTCGACACGTCGTCGTTTGAAGTAAATTGTTTTGTGTTTGCTTAAACCCTAAATCGGAAAATCTCTCGGCACTGTCTTCTCTGATTCATTTCATGGCGTTCTTCGATCTAAGCCTTCCTTACACCGAGCCGCCACGGTCAGGCGGTAAGGAAGTCGCCGTCGGAAAAACCTTGCGGTTAAAGCTCTCTACAAAGGCCATGGAACTCGGCTATGTTGGAATCGCACATAACCGTACGATCAAAGGCGTAATGTCGGACAAGGACAATTGTACGATCCCTCTTCTCACTCTCGGATCTCTCATCAAGGTTGCTCCACGGTTAAAATCCTCTGTCGAATTCCATCGTGACCTTCTTAGTGTACCTCGAGCTACTCCGTTTCGGCAGTACACTCGCCTTACGGTTCATGTGGAAAGTATTGCTCAGTGTCATTGTTTGAATTCTGGGAATCCGGTAATAAAGAGCTATGATATTGTTGCAGTAAGGCCGTTGAATCAGAACACTTTCGATCATGTCTGTGAGAAAGCCGAGGTTTGAATTTCTGTCTTCTCTGATTGAGGTTTTTGTAGCTCTAATTGAAGATTTCTTGTGAGATAAACTCTGATCTTGTTTCTTTTTCCCCAAATCCGTTGTAGGTTGATCTTATTTCGATTGATTTCTCAGACGAGAAGCTATTTCGATTGAATTATCCCAGTGTCAAAGCTGCTATACAGGTGTTTGTGATTAGAGATTGTTTCCTGTTAGAAGAATCTGTATGTACCCTATTGTTTTTACATTGCTTTGTTGTTGATGAATATTCTTATGGACAGAGAGGGATTTACTTTGAGATCAAGTACTATGATCTCTTAAAGGATGCACTGACGAGGAGACAAGTTATATCGAATGCTAAGGTGAGAAACTTTGTTGCATCAGGCTACAATGTACCACATTGTACATTTTTAATGTGAAGGATGATTTTTGTGTTGCTCTTTCTGTGGAAATGTTTACTGTTACTTAGTTGATTATGTATGTGTACATTACTAGTTACTGGTGGATTGGACTAAGGGGAAGAATCTGATTATATCGAGTGGTGCTCCTTCAGTCTCTGAACTTAGAGGTCCAAACGATGTAATAAATCTCATGTTCTTGATTGGACTCTCTAGTGAAAGAGCCAGAGCTGCCATTTCAAAAAACTGTAGGTATGTATCCAATTCTTCTAGCAAATGTGTTATCTGATGCAGTTGGGTTTATAATTTATGTCATTGAGGATGGGTTTTGAATTGCTTTCAGGAATATGATAGCGAAGGTTTTAAAGAAAAAGCGGTTTCACAAAGAAGCTGTCAGAGTTGAAATGCTTTCCTCTAGTGATTCCTTTAGCCTCGAACAGCCTTTGTCTGGAGAGTGCATGAAATGGGATCCCCTCTCGAGCGGTGAAGGTGACATGCTTTTGGATGATCTCGCAAAGGCTTTTGATGCCACAAATGCTGCGGTTCACAAGGCGATTGATTTCACTTCTGTTCTTGATGGCTTGCCATCACATGGTTTCCGGGTTAAGGATATTGTAGGAACTGAACCATTGACTCAGCCACCTGCAACTAAGTTGATTGACGCACCAGTGCACAGTAATAATCAAGTTCCTGAACAACTTATGGTTGATTCAGCTTCATCTGATGGTAATCTTCGGGAAGACGAAACCATTAGCCAAACTAACATGCTGATATCTGAAGATGTCATCAAAATGGAACCTACAACAATTGTCCCCCTGAGGAAATGCAGTACTATCAGCCAGGGACAGAGGATTTTGGTGCACAATCAAGCAGCTGCGTCCTTAACACTGGTAAGATGTACAAAGTCAGATGCAGTTTCTGATGTTAACATGCACATTGAGTTGGATTCAGAAGATAAATCACTGTCACCATCAAAAAGCGATCATGGGAGCCCAGTAAGTCCTGTTGAAAACTCAAACATGGAAACTATTGTTGTTGATGAAGTCTTGGTGGAGGAAAATAGCAAAGAAGGAGCTATTTCTGGTCATGCTAATGATGGGAACTACGCATATATTGATGATGAGATGAAAATCGATGCTTCTTCGGAAGCAAATCACGACGAGTACATGGAGGTGACAGTGGAAGACCAGAAGCATGAAACAGGTGACAGTAATATTAATCTTCCTAACTTATCCTCTGAGATTACTGATTTGCTAAGAGAATCAGGTAAATCTCTCAGTCCCGAGGCGGTTGGACAAGAACATGACCAAGTATCAAGGTTAGAGTCCAATGAGGCAGAGCTCGGGGAAGGGTCATCGGATCCATACCACAATACTTTTGAGATAACAATGGAAGACAAGAACGAGACAGAAACCGAAGCTAATCACCAATCCCATGTCCAGTCCTCTGAAAGAAACAATGCCACAAACTCAAGTATGAGATCTAAATTTCAACATTTGGAAAACCTTAACCCAACAACACAAGTTTTGGACTAAGATTTAGTCTTATGTTATCTAAATTCATTGGTGAAAAATTGCAGGTAAGGCTCTAGATAAGAGGAGTAGAGTTCGATTACCGAAATTACAGCCTTTCAAGCCTTTTCTACTTCAGTCGCGTTTCAAACGAATCAGTAAAAGAAGAAACCACAGAAGAGCTGTTTGATGATTCTTAGAACCCTAAAACCCACGCAAGTCTCGTGGTTTTCTTGTTGAACCGTTCATAAAAGTGGGGGAAAAGAAACATTTTTATTAAATTATTCTATAGAGTTTAGGGTTGATTCTTTGTGTACTCGTGTTCAAGACAAAAGCTTTTAATTAAAATAATAAAAAGAAAGAAAATGAATTTAGAGTGGAGAGTCGGTAAATCTACCGCCGGCCGACAAAAGTCGGGGATATGGTCGCCGGAGGGCCTACATTTCCCTCCATAGCCTTTGCTAAAGAAGAAAGACTGCTCTCTCTTCCTTTTTCAAAACTATTACCTTATTTAAAATTGATTTTGAGAAGCATTATTCTTCACGTTATTACTACTACTGATGCCTCTATTACAGTTTGAGAAGATTTTTCACATGATATTTTGGAGAAAAAAAATATCGTTTCTTTTGTGTGTATATTAGTGATGCCTCAAATTGAAGTTTGTACTTCGTAGGCTAGG